TTTAGGTTGTAGACAGAATCAGAATAAAATGTAGTCAGGCTGTGATATCTTGCCACAAATACAATATAATTAAAAGGAACATCTTAGAACTGTGTATCTAGATTATGTAACTTTAATACACAGCAATGATGTTCTGTACTCAAGCTCTGGTCCAAATGACCCATGATTTTTTCCTCCACAGACCTTTTAACTTTGCTTAATTTTCTCACTTTAATTCCTTCCCTTTTTAGTTACTGAATGAGATAATGTCACATTATAATGCTCTGGGTTAAACACAGCCATGTCTCTGGGGAATGCATTGGTTAGAGAAAGCATACACTGATCAACCGATGTATATTTTGCCAAGAGGAATGGCAAAAGAACCACAGATCATACAAGGAAATGCACACTGACTCTCCCCATGACTGCCCAGGTACACCTGACAAAGCCTGAACAAGCCATGGCAGTACCTAACTGGGTACCTGACTATCACACCATATGATTGCACATCTCAAACAAAGTTGAAAACCTGACTCGATCCACTCCATCCAATCCACTTACCCACCTGCCACCTTACACATTTGTTGCCTTACCCACTACTTGCCACACTGTCCATTTACCTCACTCACCTTATTGATTTAGCCTACTCAAATAATCACTCATTCACCTATTCACTAATTTTCACATCGGGTATTTAAATTTACGCCAGCTAGTGCCTTCAAATGGGGCCGGGGGGGGGATGCGGTGTGGGCATGTCCAGTCTGTTCCGCTGACACCATTTTGCTGTGATGACGCCCTTTGTGGGACTGAATACTTTGCAATTCTGTGTAAACTGGGCTTGATAGCGCACCATCGAGGTATTGAAATGTTTGAGCTGAGACAATCTGCCAGTGATTGCCAATTTGTAGAAGATTCGGGCCAACATTTTCTCTGCATACCATGGGTTTTTATGATGCTGAATGTATGGAATTGCAGATTCAATAACTTTCAAAATGGATTTGGATCAATACATGAAGGAAAATCTTGTCAGATTATAGGGAAAATATGGGGAGCGGGATGAATTGGATAGTCTTTTTTTCTAAGACTGGCCTAGGCATGATGATTGAATAATTTCCATCAATTCTTTGTCAAGAAATAAAGACTGTCAAAAATAAATATTTTTCCATAATTTGATAGTCAGAGGGAAAATAATAATTTGGTTTCAGATAATAATAGAAAAACAAACAATGTAATACTGCCAAAATAGGAGATATCTCTTTTTCGTTTCTGGCTCCATTAAAAATCAAATACACACCATCACCCCCTCAAAAGTTAGGTCAGGTTGTGAGAAACATAAGGGATATAACCAAAGCATTGTGCTCATTTGATTCATCCATGAATCTAAATCTTCATAGAGGTTTTGGGATTCAAATCAAACTTGATATAGTCATATATTTGACAGTATTTGATCAGCCCTACGAAGTGATCCCATTCAAAAAGAAAATGAGAATGTTTGACCTGTCTTACAATCCCAGTCACTGTGACTTACTGGGGCAAATGAATGTGTTTAACTGTAACTGGTAGTGTTCTTGCCTGTAGGCCTGAAAGGTCTGGTTTCAAGACACACCCACCCTGGATATGTCTGTCATAACTTGTGTGAACAGGTTGTTCAAATATAATAGGGTCATGTGACACAGTGGTAAGTGTTGTCCGGAAGGCCTGTGCTCATGTCCCCTACGTCCACAGGTGTATCATAGCATGTTTGAGCAGGGTGATTAAAATAACCATGACGATAGCACAAGGCCATATAGACAAGTGGGGCTACCACCAAATGTCAGAGTGATTACATGTTCATGCAAATTCTGTAGGAAAACTCCTCCGGAGTTGTGTAGCATCCAGTCTATAGCAGCAAGTTTTGATTTGAACAGTTATATTTCTCATTGTGAAATCATTCTCAGTGGTTAAGAGATAGGGTTAGGTAAGCTGCAAATGTTATTATATAACAAGACTCTATAAATGACAACCCTACCATCCGCAAAACCAAGAGACAGACTCTAAACAACCAAGGGATCAAAGGTTGAGCTGCTTTTCTTCCGAATGCAAGCAAGTGTAAATTGACCGCTCGTTTATACATTTGAACTAAAGCAACTCATAAATTTTTATATCAAATCTCTTGATTTATTTAATCATTAATGGATAGAGTTCTTTACAAAAACTATGGGTTGATTTCTTTCCCTCTAATCAACCTGTTCTATGATGTTATTACCGATCTCTGGAGCAGTTGGGCCTTGAACACAGGCTTCCTGGCTCAGGGGTAGGGACACTAGCACTGCACCATGAGAGAACCCTCAACAGGTCAGATTTTTAAACCACCCTCACAATATGGGAATGGAGGTGGGGAGGATGGGACAGCAAACCCAGTCTTCTCCCAAATATGGCCAATTCAAATCATTAAAAAGCTTGTGAAGAGATGGAGCGGGGAGGGTGCACCATTTAAAGGGGAGTGGGAATTTCAAAACTGGACAGATTTTGAACAGCTAAGGGGAGGCAAGCCAGTCACAATGGCCAAGGGCATCACTTCAGCCCCATAAGGTCATCAAAACAGAAGGGCACTTAGCACCTGTGTAAATAGATGCCCTTAGCTTTGTGCAGGTGGCATGGCAAGTGGGCACACTCCTCTCGGCATCAAACAGGGCTGCCACAGCCTGGCAGTCTGGGGCCAGGAGATCAGGAACATGGCCGTCAATCACAATCGAACAGTCATATGTCTGAAAGGAAGGCTCCAGATGGCATCAGGCCATGACTGTCAGATTTTGGGGCCAATGGCAAAGAGGAACAGAATGCTACACAGCATGGGCAGAACCTTAAATATCAAAAGGAAATGGAAGAGGAAAGAGGGGCAGAAAGGCAACACAGCATGGGATCGATTACGGAAAGAAGACAAAGCTACCAGTGGATGACTGAGATCCAACGTCGCAGTGATGCTCACAGGATGGTCATAGACATCTGTACCCTTCTCATACCTGGTACCTCACACCTTGTGGAACTGGTCATCATGCTCTGACAGTAACTATCAAAATCTCCATGGCCCTGAACATTTTCACTTCTGGACCCTTTCAATAATCAGACATTGGTGACATCTTGCAAATGATTGCACCTCATTGGTTAATGGTGCACTCTTTCCATCATTCACTGTCCCCATGTGGCTACCACTGCCTCTGTGTCCAATTGGGCTGTGACCATAACACAGTTTCATGTGTTTAATTGAGATCATAACATCATGTGTATACTCACTCTCTTGGCAGCCACCATGGCCCTTTCATCCTGTGCCTATTCTTCACTTCAGCCCCTGAGTGTGTTGATGGATCAAAGTGAATAATCATATCATAGAATCCCTACAGTGTGGAAACAGGCTCTTCGGCCCAACAAGTCCACACTGATCCTCAGAGCATCCCACCCAGGCCCATCCCTCTATAACCCACTTAAACTACACATCTCTGAATACTATGGGCAATTTAGCATGGCCAATCCACCTAGCCTGCACATCTTTGGACTGTGGGAAGAAACCAGAGCACCTGGAGGAAACCCACGCAGACACGGGGAGAATGTGCAAACTCTACACAGTTGCCCGAGGGTGGAATCGAACCTGGGTCCCTGGCGCTGTCAGACAGCAGTGCTAACCACTGAGCCACCATGCATATCCTCAAAGTAGCTATTCATCCATTTCAAAGGGGCCCAGGCAGAAGTATGGAAGCCACACAGCTAATGCAACCTGTTCAGTAGGACAACACTATGCTTTTGGAGATGTAGCTCCACTGACTGGATCAGTCAATACACTCCAGCAAGGCTCACTGGGTTGGTCTACCCCGCATTGCATTACATGGCTAAATAGGGATATGTGGGTCTTGTGTTAGGAGGGCCTTGAAGGAGTCAGAAATGAGGCAGGAAGAGGAAGTGAATGACAATGAACATAGAAGTGCCCCTGCTGCTTAATAAGGTGGCATTCCCTGCCACCCTTGAAGGACAGGATCTCTTGCACAGCATCCAGTGTTGTATTCAGGTCATCATCGATGAAGTGAAGGTCTGACCTGCCTTGGGTGCCAGGCCTGTGACACACCATTGACATCTTGCAGTGCAGTTTGTATAATTGGACACAAGGCACAGAAGTCTCCCTCAAGACAACCAGCAACCTCACTGAAAACTGCTACAGAGTTTTCAACACTTCATCAGTCACCTCCATTCCAATTCCCACTGGTTCAAAATGTGCAGGCATATAGTCTCCATATGAAATAAGGGCTCACCCTTGTGAAGATCTGAAATAGAATCAGTTTTCCATTGGAGGCATGCTTCTGTCTCTAAAAGCTCAACCAGTTTGTGATTTCCTGTATCTGGGGTGAAAGTTCATCTCTTTATATTGCATTTGAAAATCTGTTCTGACTTGTATACTATTCTGTCAAAGTTCACCCATATAGGTGAAATATCTTAATTATTACCAGTCTCCACTTTATCCACCACGATGCATGTTGCAGAAATATTTTCACACTGAGGCTAATCAGGCTAAATACCAGCAATAAATTAAGAAGGGGCTTTTATCTTTACATTACAACACAAAACTGTCATTTTAAATTCAAAAGGAGCTGTGCTTTTATATAGAACTCCCTCACGCAACAAATCCATGAGACTTGTTCTCTAGATTTACGTTACTAAAATTGGCCCCATATCCTGACTCCAGAATCATATACACATAAGCAAGGCAATTTTTATCAGTATCAAATGAAACTGAAGGAAGGTGGCTCATGTAGCTGTGGTTGATTACATGCTGGTAAAGGGCAAAAACACTTTGAAGTGTCAGGCCTCACTGCTTCAAAAAAATAAGAAATCACCGAACCATAAAAGTTGTTAAGAACAAAATCAAAGACATGTACTGTGATTCGATCACACATTTGCAGACTCCTTTTTTCTATACAGTTTATTTACAAAATGTATTAAAATTCCTTTCTTTTACAACACCTCATTACTGAGACTCAGTAAATGATTCCAATCATGCATTTTTATGCTTTAAATATTTGCTATTTTGCTTGTTAACATTTCTGTGTTTGCTGAAGTGCAGTTTTAACAAAAAAATTTTTTAAGTGACTACAGCTTAACTTCTATAGCTTGAAGTTAATAGCAGGAAGTGTAGGCAATCATGCAAGTTTAAAAAGAATGAAAAGAACTCAAATCCTTCACCTCTATGAAGTTGATCACTCTTGAAAACTGACACAAGTTGATAAATCTACATTGGTTCTGTTCATATAATCCTTTAAAAAATTATTTTTTTGTTTTCCTATAGATACTTTATCTGTGGAGCTTTGATTAACCCTTTCTCACCTGATCAATTCACTCTTGATTCAAATTAAATCTTCTCAATAATCAGACACTTGAAAATATTCAGGGAGGAAATGGTTAAACACATTTGCTCCTATATAAAAGTAGGCCATTTCATTGTACATGATTGTTCACATTCTGTTGACATCTTGATAGCCGCTTTCTTCTCTTCCACACAGATTGGATGCTAACCCACTGAATTCCCATCTTGTAATATTAACAGAGGTAATTAGTATGTAGGTACTTCACTGAACAGCCTGAATTTAATTAAAAAAACTTACAATTATGGTTCTTCTCTCACAGAAAAGATATCATGTAAGAATTTAACCTTTGTACTTGAAGGAATTATGTAATTTTTAAAATTGCCATTATTTGTTAATGAATCATTCATTAAAGGAACAGATTTTATACATTTAATTTATGTTGCACATTTCTTTCAAGTTCCTTTCCAATTTTTAATTTTATTTGGTACAAGGAAACTACCTTGGCACTCAAAGTAATAAATTTCAATATTATTGTTCAGATATTTTATACATGAAACCTTTTCTCTGCAATAGTTGTGTTATCAAATGATGGCTTTTTGCTGAACTAAATTGATTTTATTTCAGTATATAATTTCACAGAGAAGCTTGATTCATTTTTTAAACTCTGTCCTGTATTTTCAAGCAAGCTAGACTCTTATTGTGATTCAGAATGATGAGTTGCATTGTTGTGATTCTCCATTATGTTCCATAAGGCACTGAAGGAGTATTCAGTTTTTTATGAAAAGTCTGGTGCACCATCAGCCACTCTGGTACCATGTCTGACACCTGGTACAGCGTGCGGTGACTGCAGGTAGTCAGGGGTCATGGCACGGCCGTTTTCTCCAATGCTCCCAAATATGGACAGTGTTCCTTTATTTTGCGTGGCATCAGTGTAAGTGAGCTGTGTTACAAAGAAGTGGGAAAAAAAGAGTATATACTATTAAAAATTAAAGTCTTAAGTACATCACAGCAAAGTTTATGGGTTGACTGACAAATGAATGCTTTGCTTGACACATTGATTTCCAAAATGTGGTGCAGTTCCCATAGTGCAATGAAAATGTCTGATAAGTTGAAACAAAACACTGAAAAGGAGTCAAAGTAAATTAGAATAATGACTGTCTAAAATTAATGCATTTCCAGTCATGCATTGTAATATTTTCAAAGAGATTATATGCAGTTCCATGCAGCACCAAACTTGGCATAATTATAGCAAAAGTTATTATAGAATTGCTTATAGAATTGGACACAAAGATTTGTAGACTTCACAACTGCTGTTAAAATTATGAACAGCCAAGGGTGGGTATCACTAACAGCTGTAGATTTTCTAATTCTCAGCTACCTCAAAGGTAATATAAAAGACCTAAAAATATTTAATTTGCTCATTCAGACTCCACTCATATCAAATTTTAATTTAGTCTGATTAGTACAGCTGCTGTTGATGCCGGTCAATTCTATCCCAGCAGAGACTATCCTTCACATCACCTGTCATAGATGTCTGAATTTAGAATTGTGAATTCACCCATTCCCCATTCTTGTCTGAATTGACACTTGCAGAAAAATTATTTTCCTTTTAATTTATTTTAGTTTGTGACAAATGGTAATTTTTCGTAATATATACACCTCATGATTCCACTGCAGAAGAACTTTGGTTCTATCTTGATCAAATGCACATTCTTTAATTATGCCTGTGGCTTTTAACCTCAAATCTCACTCCAGGGACTTGAACATAAAAATTTATGGTTTTCAAAATATTTGTTAATGGGATGAGGGTGTTTCTGGTTAGGGCAGCATTTGTCACAATTCTTAATTGCCCTTGAGAAAATGGTTGGGAGTCAATTTCGTGAATTCCTGCAATCTGTTTGGTGCAGATAGATCGACAAAGCTACTAAGGAGGGTGTTCCGAGATTTTGATTCAACGACACTGAAGGAACGGAATATTTCCAAGTGAGGACGTTGGGTGGCTTGGAGGGGACCGTGAAGATGGTGGTGTTCCCACGTATCTACTGTCCTTGTCCTTCTAGATGGTTGTGGTCACAGACTTGGAAGATGCTGTCTAAGGAGCCTTGGTGAATTTGAAGTGCATCTTGTGGTTAATACACATTGCTGCTACTGAGCTTTGGTGGTGGAAGGAGTGAATGTCTGTGAATGTGGCGCCATTCAAGCGGGCTGTTATGTCGTGGATGGTGTCAATCTTTTTGAATAGTGCTGCATTCAACCAGACAAGTGGGATGTATTCCATCACACTCCTGACTTGTGCCCTGTAGACTGTGGACAAGGCTTGGGGAGTCAGGAGGCAAGTTACTTGCTGCAGAATTCCTAGGCTCTCACCTACTTTTATAGCCAATGTATTTATGCAGCATTGCAGTTTTAATGAAGTGCCTCACTGTTAGAGGTGCTGTCTTTAGGAGTGTGAGTGCTCAGCCATTCTAGATCATAAGTGATATTCTAGCAACACCATATTCTCACACTATACCCATATTCCTTGATGTCACTCATAACTAGAAATCTATCAATTGCTATCTGGAACCTACTTAATCACTGAACATTGATAGCCCTCTGGGGCAGAGAATTCCAATCGTTCACTACCCTGAGAGAAGATGTTCTTCCCCATCTCTGTCCTAAAATGCTTGCTTTTTATTCCGAGATTTGTGTCCTCTAGTTCTAGAACCCATAGTTAGGGGAAGCTTACTTTTTATGTCTACCCTGTCTACCCCTTTAAGATATGCGATCAGCTCTCATTCTTTCAAACTCCAGAGAATCTCGATCCAGTCTCCTCAGTCTCTCCTCATAGATCAGTCTCGCCATTCCAGCAGTAAGTCTGGTGAACATCTGCTGCACTTCCAAGATGGGCAGTATATATTCCTTAGGCAAGAGGCCAGATCTGCTCACAATACTTGCGCACGTACGTGCTAGCTTTCAGTGACTAGTAAACCAAACAAAGATACTTAGATCTCTTTAGACAGCAACATTTTCCAATCTTTCATTGCTTAAGAAACATTCTGCACATTAGTTCCTCCTACCAAGTGGATAACCTCATACTTATCCACATTGTATTCCATCTGCAATGCTTTTGCCAATTGAGGGAGTGTCACCCTGTCTAAATCCCACCAAAGCCTCTTTGTATCCTCCTCAGAACTCTCACTCTCATGAAGTTTTGTATTAAATGTAACCTTGGAAATATCACAATTTAGTTTATGGGACCTTTTAGTTGGGTGCCACATTTCCTACTTTTAGTGTGACTACACTTAAAAAGCACTTCCATCCAGACCCTCAGAGAATCACTCACCCAATCCCCCAGTCATCTACCCTCCCAGACACCATTCATTCCACCTCTCCAAGTCACTCACTCACTCACTCACCCACCCACACTCAAGGTACCTACCCCTTGTAGGCAAGTTACTCACTTGCCCAGTAGCCCCGGGCACTCACTCATCCTCCTCAAGTCATTCACTTCAACACTCCTATCCCACCCCTGAGTTGCTCACCTACACCCCACACTCAGGAAGTCACTAGAAATCAGGCTCCCCAGTACAATTACTCATCCACCCACCTAAAGCCTCCAGAGGTCACCCATTAATTCACTCACTCACTCAATTTCCCCATCACTCACTCACTGAAGCCTCCATTGCTCACTGAACACCCTGGTACTCATTCAACTGCCCCTCACTCTCAAACTGAAACCTCCATTCACACACCTTCTGCCTTCACTCACTCACCATCTCTCGTACAGTAACTCACACAGGCGTGGAAGTTTTGATGAGGAGCAGTACGGATGGTTGTGAAGGTACCAATATGTGCTATCGCTTGCCTGGTCTAACACTGCATCTGCCTCAGGCTTTGCTAGTGCTGCAAATACCATCAACATCACCTTACATCCCCTTATACTTCCCACCGTTATCAGCCTGATCAACTCTCATAGACCCCCACAGAACCTGGCAAATGGTATCGGCCATTGGCCAACCCTATACTCTCAGCTACTCCCCCCTCCCCACTAATGACCCACTCTTTTCTGAATCACTTACACCCATTAGCCTGCCTGACTCCCATTGATTCCCCTGCTGATAGTTCACTTGACCCTCATTCCCTCCCCACCCTGACAGCCCACTGTTCTCTCACAAGCTGCCCTGGCAACGGCATGCCTAACTCTTGCCCATCTACCTTATCCCGATGAAAGCCCTCCCCCACAAACTTAAGTAGACCAACCTAATGCTGGTGGCACGCAAAACTCTCACACACATTCTATCTGCCCTGATGATCCACTCAAACACTCATATGTCCATCACCACCTCTCTATCGGACTCTCAATCTAGCTATCACTCCTTGACATTCAATGGCATTACCATTACTAAATGACCCACTATCAACATCTTGGTACATACCATTTACCAGACGCTGAACTAGACCAGCCATATAAACTCTATGGTTACAAGAGTAGGCCAGAGAATAGCACCTCCACTTACCTAGATGAATGTAGCTCCAACAACACTCAAGAGGCTCAACACCATCTGGGAATCCAGGGTAAAGCAGCTCACTTGATTGGAACTCCATCTAACACCTTCAACATTCACTGCCTTCACCACTGACACACAGTGGCAGCCATGTGTATCTTCTACAAGATACACTACAGTAACTCACTATGGCTCTTTCCACCACAAAGGAGGACAAGTGCAACAAATGCTTGGGAATACCACCATCTGCAACGTCATCCTCCAAATCACTCACCATCCTGACGTGGAAATACATCATTGTTTTCTCACCGTTGCTGGTCAAAATCCTGGATCTCTCTCTCTAAAGCTTTGTGGGTATATCAAGAGCACAGCTCACCACCACGTTCTAAACAGCAATTATAGATAGGCAATGGATACTGCCTTATCCCACATCCCATGAAAGAATAATAAAGAAAAATATATGCGGCAGCATGGGTAGATGTTTGGCTAATTGATAGGAAACAGAGTAAGGATAAATCGGTTCATATCCATTATAAATGGGCACTTTGGGTTGGGAAATTGTCACAAATGAAGTGACACAAGGTCAGTACTGGGGCCTCAACTATTTACAGTTCATAGTAATGACCTGGGCGAAGGGACTGAGTGCATTGTAGCCAAATGTTTTTGACAATAAAAATATACATAGGAAATCAAGTTGTGAGGAGGACATAAAGCATCTGTAAAGGGATAAACACAGGATAAATAGGCTTATAAAATGGTGAAAAAAAGAATAATTTGGGAAAATGTAAGCTTTTTCATTTTGATGGGAACAATAGACAGGAAATAGATGAAGATGTCATAATGGTTAAGGTCTCCTTATTTAAGGAGTGATATACTTGCACTGGAGGCAGTTCACACATTTGATTCCTGTGATGAAGGAAGGGTTGAGTAAGTTAATCCTATACACATTAGAGATTAGAAGAATGAGAGGTGATCTCATTGAAATTTACAAGATGCTGAGGTGGTTTGACAGCATAGATGCTGAGATGATGTCGCCCTTTGCTGATGAATCTTGAACTCGGGGTTACAGTTTCAAAATGTTGGGTCTCCCATTTAAGATGGAGATGAGGAGAGGGTCCTTAATGTTTCACATTCTCACTGCCACAGAACAGTGGAGTCCGGGTCATGGAATGTATTCTAGGCTACATTATGCAATTTCTTCATCTCCGGGAGTCAAGGGCTATGGAGGAAAAGGCAGGAAAGTTAAGGTAAGGAAACAATTAGATGACCCGAGATCACATTGAATGGCAGAGCAGGCTATGCCTGAAGGAACCAAATGCTCTTGCTCTTACTTCTTAGATTCTTATGTGTACATGTGGAATTTTATTCTTAGTCTTTGGAAAGACGTCACCAAGAGCAGCAAACAGATGAGGAAGTGCTGAACCAAAGATAAAAACCGGGTGAACCTAGGAATAATAATGCAAGGTTGGAAAGAACCCACTGCTGGAGCAGCTGCAGGTTCAATTGTGTAATAGTTAAGAATGAAACCAAATGAAGACTGGTCCATTGAGGCTAGATGCTGGAGGAGAATGAGTGTGGTTGACTAATGCTGCAGATGGCATGAAGTACAATGGTGCACCACAATTACAATCATCAAGGATGGTACACTTAATTTAGATTAGGACTAGTTTAACGCTGTAGCAGGGATGAAAATCTGATAAGAGACATTTAAGTATGGGGTTTTGGGAAAGATGGGCACAGCTTTTTGAGCCAACATCACTTTCAAGAATGTTGATGGGCCAGTAGCTTCTAAGGATAGGATTTTGAGGTTGGATCTATTTTAAAAAGAGGGGAGTAAGGACATCATTTTTAAGAGGGAGAAGACGCAGTACCTGAACATCAGGAAAGGAAGTTTGGAAAGGAAATCCACAGTTTTGTGCGAATGGAATCAAGGGATCTGGAGGTGGATGTCATAGGCAAGCCTGAAGGGAATATGAAAGCACCTCGGGAAGAAACTGAAGAATCCTGCAGGTTCAATGCTTTGGGTTGTAGACAGGTTACTAAATTGAACTGATGAATTGCCAGTGAATACAATCCTTGCCTAAACCTAAAAAAAAATTAAAAATTTTTAAGGAACACTATCAAGAATATTTAAGGGACTACATGCTAATATAACGACTAATAGTTGTTATATGCTTTGGGATTAAATCTTTTGGATATGAGCGTATGGTTGCTTAATATTTGTGTGAAATTGCTTTGCTTTGACATTTCAGAGAAATACATCACATATTTACATATTAATATTTGGAAGAGGCTAGTTTGAAGGCAACGGTTTGAGATTAAGGAGGCAGGTGCATTCTGACAATATTATATCTATGAAAGGCTACACTACCATTTGCTCTAAATTACTTTAATGTGTCCTCTTTAGTATGTAATCAGTATCCATATTGATTTCATTATGTTTAAAATGAACACAGTCTCTGTTGTTGCACTTTGCCTATGCTGAGTCCTGATGAAAACTTTTACACTGAAAACACTATGCTGTACTTTCTCTTTCATGTTCCCATCAGAAGGCTGTCCATTTCATATTGCCAAGATTCATACTTTCTCTTCTCATCTCTTAATTAATATGAACCCTGATTTATTTTTGTAAGATTGTGTCAAATTCCTTTGCTAAATCTATAATAAAACTTTCTGCTTATTGATAATGTAGCACTCAATTTATCTCTATATTATATTATCATGGAGTACACCTCAGAGATGGTGACCCTTTCTAGCCCAGTCAGATAAAAAAAACTTTCATTTGATAAGGTTTTGGTGTTTGTATTTCTCTTCCAGTATCCATGACTGATTTTGCTCTTGCAAATAGCAATAGCCATATTAGTTTCAGAATTTCTTAGACTGCATCCTAACCAGTACAATATAATTTAAAAGTATTTCTCAGAAAATGGAACTCGGTAGAAATAGCAGGATATCTACAGTTTGATCATAATTTATGGCAGATTCTCCTACTAATTTCAGTGACGTGCTTGAGAATTCAACCTGTTACGGTATGGGTTGAATATGTATAATTTAATAGGATTTTGTAGCAATACCTGACATTGTGACAATGTAAAAATTGCTAGTATTGCTTTTGTATAATTTCATTTCATTTAAACCTTTCATTTTTACACAGATGCATATATTTACGCAGTTTTGATCGAATAATGACAGTAATCTGGTTGCAGTAGCAGCGGTTTTGGTAACCAGAGGTCACAGATTTATGGTGATTAGAGAGACAAAAAAAGGGGGTATATAAGGAACCATTTGATCTTTTATGCAGTGAGTTCTTGTAATCTGGAATACACTGTCTGAAAGAGTGGTGGAAGCAGTTTCAAGGGTTTCAAACAAGAATCAGACAAATACTTGAAAACAAAAAAATGCAGAGCTTTTGGGGAGATAGCAGCAGAGTTGGATTAACTGGATCACTCCATCAAAGAGCAGTCACAGGCATGATTGACTGAATGGCATCTATGCTATGTCATTATGATTTTATGAAACTTTAAATGATAGATTTTAGGCTGAACTGCAGAATTTACTTACATGGCATTTTGATTAAAGAGATCTGGATAACATTGTAGAGATAGTAAGAACTGCCAATGCTGGAGTCAGAGATAACACAGTGTGGAACTGGAGGAGCACAGCAGGCCAGGCAGCAAGAAGGGTCCTGACCCAAAACGTCAGCTGTCCTGCTCCTCTGATGCTGCCTGGCCCGCTGTGCTCCTCCAGCTCAACTCTGTGTTATGGATAACATTACATGCAGGTTTACGATTTCTCTGCGTGTATCCTAAGACAGAGAGTTTCATGTCCATCCTCTGAGAGTGCCATATTG